TGAAAGGTTTTTGTGGCAAAACGCAAAAAAGGCTATAATGGACGCTCATTCTATCTCGTCGTACCACTTGAAGTCTTGGCTTGAGAAATTCACTAAAAGGGAAGGCCTAAATTACCAGGAAAATTTTATATATTTTTTTTTAAAAGGTGTCAATCTAGCCCCTGAGAGGGGGCTACTTTAACATAACGTTTATATTGTTTAAAAATCTTTGGAACCCATAAATTACAAAAAAAATTGTTTTATACAACTTTTCTTAATAAAACAAAGGTTAAATTTGAAAAAATAGTTTATTTATTTAATAATATAGGTAATCCTATATAAATAAACTTATTAAGAAACAAGAAATCAACAAAAAATAAACATTCTTTTCTATCTTTGCATAAGAATTAAAAAACATAGGAACTATTAAAAAACACATTAACAAAAATGTTTAAGTAGAATAGTCGTCTTCGCACCACTCACATTCATAGGATACATTTTTCGAGCCTTTATTGCAAATGCCACACACCCACTTGCAACAAGTGACACAGCGAATCCATGGCCTTTTAAGTTGGTAATGACGAAAATCAACCTTACAAATAGTGCATAAATTACCATCATCTTCGTTTGAAAAGGTGTCAGTAGTGCGCAGACTACAATCTTCATTTGTCACCCTCTGTTTTAAGACACTCAAAGGCACATCGTCCTCGTCCGAGGAGCTGTCGAAGCGTCTGGGCTTGCGTTTTATTCTTTTACTTGATGGTTTTCTTGGTAACCCAGGGTCTTCGAGGGTCTTCTGGTTTTGTCCAGAACATCCAGCTTCAGCGATAGCTGGCTGACTTTTTCCTTTGACCTTGTCAAATGTTGGAAGTAGAGCCTTACTAATATCTTCGTCTGGCACAGTGTCTTCTACTCAGATGCTCTCATTGTTGTTTTCTAGTTGAGCTTTAACGACGAATTTCTTTGCTCTCTTGTGTTGAATACTGTCTTTATTAAAACCTCTTGTCTCTTTCTGAAATTCAAGGAAACTGCTGTCAAAGATCCGTATTGATTCTTCTTCATTTACCTTTGGAAGCTTTTTCAGAACAGCCTGGGGATCGAATGGATAAAGTCCCATGGCTCTAAAAGCGCTCTGTAATTTTTTTTTATATTGGGCAATGGCATCCATTAACTTTTGTAATAACACTGGAAAATGCTCTTTTGGTATAAACTTTTTTTTTCTGGATTCTTGCCTCCATTTGTCAAGAACTTTACGCCATTGTTTTTTCAAAGGTCCGTACACTCCAATATCGAGAGGTTGGAGCAAGGTGATGAAGATGGTGCAAGAGTTGTAAAATAAATTTTGTTATCCACCGCACTTCTGATAACTTCGGGAGGAAAATGTGATGCCAAATTATCTTCGATGACGAAAACTTTTTCGTCTCCTACTCTGAAATTTTTAACGTATTCTGAAAAACCAGACCTCAAACAGATCCATGTCGAACCATTCAGAGATGCTGTTTCTGTAGAGTGTTTCTGGCGGTTCGCCCTCGGTCCAATTTTCATAGAGATTTTTGGACATATACCACCATAGAAGCAAGAATTTCACCTTTAGCAGTGCCACAGAACATCAAGCTGACTAAAGACTTAGAATGCTCTTGAATTCTTTCCACACGCTTGTGACCTCGTGGTACAAGGACTTTTTTGGCACCAGGATCGTCCGAAATATTGGTTCATAATTATAAATCAAATGTGGACGAGTCCTTTCTAATGCAGATTTCATATTCTCAAAATATTCTGTGATTTCGCCGCGACCCACTGATGCCCGTTGTGGTTTAATGTTTGTAGCTAGTTTGTTGCTAAAATTATTTCTCTTTGCGAAGGCGTCCACAAAGTCAAGACCTGGCATATTACCATTTAATTACTTTGTATATTTTCTTACTATTCTTATCTGAATTGTCTTATTAATGGATGTAATTCTGTTAGACAATAAAGCTTATTATTATTCCACTGAGCAACATTTCTATCCTGCTTTGATATAAATTTATGCACGACCTCTCGAATATCAGCCTTCGTCAATGGGTGCCTCCAATCGACTACGATGTCTGCAATTAATCTCTCTTCTTCGGGTGTCAAAACTGTAGGGTGACCGGGTTTTCCTTCATGTCTACGATGGATTTTTTGAGGAGGGTAGTTCTATTTACCTTATATTGCAAAGCAGCGGCTTTTTGACTAAGTTGCTTACTTTGAACTGTTGCAACAGCTTTGGCAAGGTCTTCTTCCCTGTAATTTTTATAAGGTCGAGCACCAACCTTTCTCTTGTAGACTTTAACCATTACGATTTGTTTACGTTTAATCTAAAACAAAATAAAGGTCCTAGTACAATTTTTTTTGCACAAAAAACCATCACATGCAAGATCCAAGCATACAATAAAATACTATTTATAGCCATAGAAAAATTATGTCTACTTAATTACACTATTAAACTACAGTAGAAACAACAATGTTGATAGACTTACCCAAGTGGTGCCAGCGCAATCTTAAAAAAACACAGAAAAATTAACAAACGCTCTAAAGGTAGTTTACGGTGAACGCCAGACGGCACACTGGAGACCATTATGGCTAAAACATGTTGGCGCGCGCTCGATCCCCTCCACGAGCTCGAGCGACAATTTGAGAAAACCGTTGAAGTCAAAGTAGCCCCTAAATGTGTCAAAGTAACACGTAAAGTCAAAGTAACCTCGGTTTACGGTAGTAGTTGTGATAGAAATATTACTTCAAGAAGAAGCAACATCTCCAGAAGAACGATTAGCTGTCATATTGCGCTCCTAGCAACTGCAGAATCCTATACCAGCTTAATATTAATGTATTTAAAGTTTTGAATGCTCTCAACTGGCAACATTCTGTCCACATTGTAAATCAACTTTTTGTGTTGAAATAAGTTATAGTTATATATGTTGAAGTAAGTTGTTTCAGTGTGGACACAGCTTTATGTTGAACTTTCTTTAGTTTGGATCTTCTTCCTTTATTCTATTTTTTCTCAATATTTGATTTTGAAATTTATCGAACAGAATCGTCAAACATTTCTTTAAAAATTGACAGGAAGGCACAGCGATATTTTTAAATGTTTATTTTCACTTAGGATGAGGCATCTGAAACACAAAAAAGGTAAAATAAAAACATATAATCTAGGCAAATAAAATAGTCTTCTTTAAAATGCTGTACATAGGAACAAACTTTCAAATACACTTTGATACTGGCTACTTAATTTTCAACTTTCGTTTTCTTGCATCCACAAATTCAGAATTTCCACTTGCATTTTATAAAAGATAAAAATTTAAAGCCTTAGCTTATTATTAAATAAAATATTTCAAACAAAATACTTGTTAAATTTTGAAATAACATTTATTAACATAACCTGATAAACAATAAACAAAACTTGATAGAACACTTATCTTAACAATGGATAAAAAATATATTTAAATATCGTCAACTTCCAAAACAGCAAAACTTTTAAATGTAATTATTTAGTTTAACAAACCGCCCATGTCATGTCCAGTTGCAACTTCACTATACCTCTTTAGGTATTTGGTCGGTGAACATTTTGTATATAAAAAAAATAATGTACACTGTCAGTTGTACAATATTCAAAGAGCATATGTGCTTTCATGCCACTCTGAGTTGCATTCGCAATTTTCACACGTTCCTGGATACAGATTAAAGCCGGGTATCATCTGCCAAATTTACGTTCATGGCGCAGGACAATGGTGCAATAATTAGGAGTATTCTAAAGGGTCGCATAACACTCGCAGCGTAGTAAATGACTATCACAATGTGGGTAATTAAACGCTTCAATTAGCTCGAATAGTATCATCTGTAGGATTACATGAAGCTGTTGAACAGTGATAAACGTGAATAAAGAAACGATAACAGATCGTAAGAACTCGTTAGATTTTATATTATACGATAAGCAACAAAGCAGCAAGAGTCATATAATTGTTCCGTCATATTTAGCAGGAAAATAAATCAGATAAAATTGACATAGTACGTAGTTCAACCATGTACCTATGTTTGTTATTATTTCATTAATAAACAAACCTATTTGATAGTAACAAAATAAAAAATAAATAAGCCAATTACAGGAGAGGAATTTCCGCCCTCGGGGAGAGTAGATGTTGATTACAAAATTTAGTGCGGGAAAAGAGAAAAGCTCTCTCGTAGTAATTATTCGGATGATAAAATAGATACTTTGTTTTGTTTACATATCGAAAAATAAAATATAACACAAGAGTTATAAGTAAATGTCACAAATGACAATATGGCGCAGGTAATACTTCTTCTGTACACGAGTAGCGACGCTTCTCCCTACTACCTCTATGGTATTGTAATAATTTGACAATTATTTTAATTAATCTAAAGATTTTACATAAAAATCTCATATAAATTTTCAAATACTTTCCTTCATTTGACCTTAGAAATATTAATAACAGTTATCATAATATATGAGTTGATCAAAAATTTCAAAGAAAGCACGTCTCAACAAATATTTAAATGATTTGGGAACGAGGGGAAGAGACAGTTACTGAGTGGGCCGGGCGTTACGCTGTCCGACTGCTCACCGACGCCGAAAAAGCGCATCTCGGGAATTTTAAAGTTGCGATTAAATAATAAATATAAGCCAACCTAATTTAAACTTAGTAAAATCGAAACCACGTTTCGAGCAAGGTAAGCCTTCTTCTTTCACTATACTAAAATTCTCTTTTCATTTTACCAAATTATTTAGTTACCTCTCTTCGTAGATTTTATAGAAAGTGCTATAGCTATAAGGACCTTATCCCCTGACTGTGACTGATGATAGTCGCTGCCTTTAACAGTATAACCCCTGTTGATGACTAGAGTCCATTTGGCTACTACATTGTTATTTAGTGACAGCAGTTACTCTCTAAATGACGGTGGTTGTTACAGTATGATATCATTACTTTGGCGTTCTATCCACTATCGTTGCTTCCCTAATTTTCAGATAAACCCAGCCTTAAATAAAATGTCATTTCTGATTTATAAGTCATTTTAATAATTAATCACGTCTATAGAAGAAAAAGGAATGGCAGCAGCCAAAGGACATGGAAAAAAGGCAAATAAACTGGATTCAAAATCACCCGATGATATTAAAGAAAAAACTTATTTGACTAGACATGTTGAGACATCTATTTCTATATTAGAAAGTCCTGAAAATGATATAGTATTGGAAGCTCTGCTATTTTTATCAAAATATGCAGATATACGTTTAGTCAATCTAACTTACCTACAGCAGAGAGGTCTTCTGAAAAAGTTATTGAACCTTTTCGATCGAAATATTTGCATTTTAAGATTAGCTCTACGACTTCTGAATATACTGTTAAGTATTGATGACGTTATGGTTGAATTTAATCGAGGAATATATGATAATCAGATAAAGCAAATAACTGATTTTTATATCTGCCATGATGATAATTATGTAAGAGAATTTTCAGTTAATATTCTAATAAAATTGGCCACTACTTGTAGAATAACATGTTTAATTTTTTCGGTAGACTTGCTAAATCCAATACTCCAAACGCTTCAGTCAAAGAAAAGTGAAGGTTTGCTGAAAACGACAATCAGACTTTTGGACGTTCTTCTTAGCAGTCCTGCTGTTTTAAGTGTTCTACCGGAGTTACAAAAATTCGATGTTACAGTAATACTTGATTACATGAACGATAATGACAATGAGATAGCCAGACTTACTTTCAACATAGTAGCAAAACTAACAATGTTCGGTTTAGATGTGTATCAAAGCATTTTCCGATTTCATCATTTAGTAGAAAAAATGATGGAAGTTGTAATGGATCCTGCAAAAAAGGAAAATCATGAGATTGCCTTACAGATCATTCTAAATTGCATGAATTCAGATCTAACTTCTTCTTATTTCGTTGAATCGATTCAATTTTTAAAGTTATGCGCTTGGGTAAAATCATGTGATACGGAATATCTTCGTCCTTGCGTCGAAATATATTCAAAATTATCCGCTATGCCTCAAATGAGGCAAGTTTTATTCGATCTATCCGTAGAAGAGTCAATTTTGTACTTCTTACGAAGTAACAATAAATATATACTAAATAAAACATGCGAAGCTATATCTAACATGAGCGAGCACAAGTATTGCTGCGAACAAATGATGACACCTGTAGTGATGAGAGTATTATGTTCTATGTTGGAGAGAAATGACGATGAAGATCCCGAAAATGCAGTAGCTATTAAAACTATTACCGATCTCATGAGAAGATCTTTAAAAACCATAGACTTTTTGAATCATTTCGGCGCACAACAAACTTTTATTGAATTGTTTAAAAAAGGAATGAGCGCTTTTACCCAGGAAAGTTATTTTAGAATCCTCGAAGTTTTATACCAATTTTCAGTGCATCCTATATATAAAGAATCCGTCGTTTGTGGAAAATTTTTCGAGGAATTATTCAACATACTGCAAAATGGAACAGAAGATATAGCTAATTTAAGTGTAGAAATGCTTACTTATTTTATTCCGCATCCGGAATTTTATGCATTGCTTGTAAAAACTAATGGACCGCAAATTATTCTGGAAAAACTAAAAACTACCAAAAATCCGCAATTGTTTAAAAGTTTATTAGTTTTGATTCACAGCACCCTTTCCAACGAATCGTTTATTATGGAATTTATGAAAAGAAACTTGGTGAAAACTTTGAAAGATTTTTCGGACTATATAAAACAAAAAGCACCACTGATAAACACAATTTTAAAATTGAGTTATGACGTATATTTACCATTAAAATTTTTCGAAATGCACCGTATGGAACTAACGGATAAATTAAATAATCAGTTTTATTTAATATCCGGGAAATGGACAGATCCGTTTCCATTTTTAGGTGTTTTTCTTCATGAAAACTTGTCGCCGATCAGAACAATTTACGTAGTTGATTTTTCATATGAAATGGTTAAATCAAAACAACGAGTCCCCACTCCAAATTCCAAAGAAGTAAGTTGTAGAAGTACACCTAGGACCGATGAACAGTCACCTATAACGCATTTGATATCAACACCGTATGAAATAAAATACGGCGATTTATCACCCGATCCGTTTCTACCATCTTATATCTATCACATTAGAGAGTACTTCAAAGAGGAAACCGATATTATTGATAAAATAAAAATGTTGGCAGAGTATGTCGATACCATTTTGTGTGGACCGGATGAAACGCTGAATATACCCCAAAAGTTTCATACGTTCAAATTACATATTCAGACACTGAAATTTAAATTGGGTACGAACATGATTCCAATTGGATATCTGCGGGTGGGTTTCCATTGCGAGAAAGCGCTTCTTTTCAAAGCATTAGCTGATAGCACTTGTATTCCTTGTTCGTTGGTTAAAGGCGCACATAATTTGTATTGGAATGAAGTTGCGGTGTTCAGTGGAATTGGATATGAACAAACTTTAACAATTTATATTGTTGATTTAATGAATAATATTGGAAATCTGATGGCAATGGGAAGCAAAGAAGCTAATTATTATTGTAATTCATCGAAATACAAAAGTAATAATTACAATAAAATTTAAATTTCCTGTTTACTTTGAGTATTCTTTAAACCAGTGGTCGCCAACCTCTCAATGTGTTGAGATACTTTTGGAATAAACAGCGAGCTACCCACACGGAAGCCACGTAACGCAACGTAAATGAAATAATCCACAGTTAATTTATCATTATATGTATTTATTTTACTATTTAACTGCTAATACATAATACATAGGTACTAATAATAAACTAATAACAAAATAACTAATATTACTAGTACGTACTTGTTCATAGTTACATTCCTACCTACCAAAGGTGTTTGAAAAATAAACACAAATTTTATCCAGCCACAACGGCATGTCACGTAAGATTTAAAAATAGTTAATAATAACAACAAAAAAGTAACGCACTATCATGAACATAAACATTGAAAAATAAAAAAGCACGTTCAATAAGAAGGCTGACACTCAGACTCATCGATAATTTTTTTAATGTTTGCAGTATAATTTGATACAACCATTCGAATACATAGAATTGAATATTTGTATTTACTTACAATAGGCCAGATACATTTGGTACTTGAGACTAACGATTTTAAGGCTAATTCATTTTGAAACTCAATTACTTGCATTTCTGTTGCAGCGATGTCTTCGCCAAAGTTCTGCATAACACAAGTTGCAAACTGTTGAATATCAATTTCCATAAAGGGTGAAACAACAAACTGCGCTACTAAAGCCATTTCGTTGAAATCCTTAAAACGATTTTTGAAGTTATTCTTCAGGGTAGAAACTATTTCTACATGATATTTGCTGTCATAGAGTTCTAATGGATTTTGGATATTTTTTCTGAAAGAATAGGAAAATGCTTGGCATCGCTGTTAATTAGGTTTTGTTCCCAAAACTCCAGCTTTTTGATAAATACTTTTATATCAGAAATCATTTCCGCTAGTTCTTTGTCTTTCCCCTGAAGCTGCAAATTAAGTTCGTTTAATTTCTCTGTAATGTTCACGAGAAAACCAAAATCTCTAAGCCAGATTGAATTTTCTAGTTCCGGAGTCGGTTCATCGCGTTGTTTGAAAAATTGAACTATGCCAGATAGGACATTATTAAAACGTTTCAGCACCCGTCCTCTACTTAACCATCGAACTTCAGAGTGAAGGAGTAGGTCCCCGTATTGACAGTCAACTTCATCGGCCAAGGTTTTGAATAATCCTCTTTGTAACGCTTGAGCTCTAATCTTATTCACAATTTTTACCACCAGTTTCATAACGTTGTTTAGTTTCAGGAAATTTCCACATAATGCTTGCTGATGGATAATGCAGTGGTAACAGAGAAATTGCGGAAAAGTTTCATCTTTACGACATAACGTCACCAGACCCTTATCACAACCCACCATAGCTGGAGCGCCATCGGTTGTCAAGCCTACCATTTTCGATATTGGAATTTTCTCAGAAGAAATAATATTTTTTAAATGAGAAAACAACTCCTGTCCAGTAGTGTGTCCTTTCAGTGGAATAAACTTCAAAAGATCTTCTTTAGTCGTAAAATCACTAAAAACCATCCTGACGAACACAGCCATCTGGGCAGTGTCAACGAAATCTGTTAATTCATCCAGTTGAAGTGAAAAATAAACACAGTTATCTAAGTCAGTTCTTAACTGTAAACAAATATCATTGCTCATTACTTCTACACGTCTCATCACTGTATTAGCAGAAAGTTGCATAGATTTTATAGCTGAAACTATCTCGTCTTTATTTCTAAAGTTGGCAAATAACGAATCAACAGCTTCTAAAAACGCCTGTTTTATCATTTCCACGTCTTCATAAGGTTTCTTTTTTTGTAAAGTTATCTGGGACACACGGTACGATGCTTCAGTTGCAGCCTTATTTTTGTCGACTGTTCTTAAAAATATTGATTGTTGTTCAATTAACTGCTTTTTTAACTGTTTCAGTTTCTCCTTTCTGGCGGCAGAATGTAGTGGGAGTGATTTTTCAAAATTAGAATGTACAGTTTTATGATGTATCTCAATATTTCTTTTTTAGCAACGGAGACCGAAGTATTACATAACAAACACACATTTTTATCTTTAACTTCTCTAAAAAAGTATTGTTCTTCCCATTCCGAATGAAAGTGGTATGTCTTTACCTTCTTACAACTGCTTGCCATAATATTATTTTTTGTCGTTCTCTACTAACCCAACCGCTGGACGTTGGTTACGCGTTCAATTTTAAACTAAGCGCAATGTCTCCGCGCCGTGCGTATTTATCCCGTTCAAAGCAATCCTGTTCGTTCTCGAACACTAATGCGTTGGTCCGGCTGGTCGGTTCTAGCCGATTTTGGCTTGATGGCGTCAGCGGCAGATCGCTCACCGCAACGTTGCCGCTGTTTATGTTTAATATTATGACAATTAGATTTTTTTGTGGAATTTTCGGAAGCTTCTCTGATTTTTGCAGTTTGTATTTTTTAAACCAAAATTGTTGTGAGAGCTACCAGAACTGCCTCCGCGAGCTACCGGTAGCTCGCGATCGACAGGTTGGCGACAACTGCTTTAAACGTTGCTAAAACAAGGATCTTTCAGTAACTATGTTTTTTACAAAGTAAAATTCTATTTTTCTACATCCACATGGGTATTGTTACACTGATTTTTGGTATCATAATTTATTTTAACTCAACTTTTACAATAACGATACACCTGATAACATTAACATGTAACGTCTATCCTAAAACTGAAAACTGTCATCAGGATCATCCTTATATAGCTTGCTTGACCCTTCTCGAACCTTCGCGAACTGTCGTCTAGAATATTCTTGACGGGTAATGACATTTCTGGACTATTCTATCTTCTTTTAATCTGTACGTTTCCTATAATAGCCGCAGGGTGCTGCGTAACAATATTATCATTTCTTCATACAATTTACTATTATGTATATGAATAAAATAAATTACAATTAAATATTTATGCGATTTATTATTAGAGATAAAATTCGTTATCATTATTCGCACCCTTTGAAAATCCCAATTGTCTTATCAAATTTACAACTCATTATATCTGGTCGAACGACCCTCGAATGCGGCCATTTAAACAACCATATAACCCTAATATCGCTTTTGTACAATTTATCTCGAACTTTCCTACGACAGTATCAGACAACGGAACATGTGAATGTGGGACTAACGTTGTCCCGGATGACCTTACCCAAACGCCTTCATTTCTGTTGATGTTGAGTTAGCGCATTATAAATTATACCGTCCGCTCTCCGGATAATAAAGTAGTTGTTATCACTTCCGCCCAGTTGCTAATAGGACAATGCATTACATCGTTAAGCTTGGAGTATGAGAAAATCGTAAAGATACGTGTAACCGTGCATAATAAAATGCCTTTCCTTTATAGCCTTACTTTCGGCGAACTTTTTAATTTGTGCTAATTTTTTACAGCTATTCAAACTTTGGTTGGTCATTTTTTAAAAATATTTGCTGATTCTGGTAATCTATGGATAATCTTCTTATAGCAGAACTAGGAAAGGTACTTTAAAAAAGTATCTAGATACAAAATACAGATACTTTCGTAAAAAGTATCTTAAGATACATTTAGAAAAAGATACTAAGTATTAAAAATATATTAGATACAAGATACTTCTAAAAAATATCTAACATACTTCCAAAGAAAGTATCTAAGATACTTACAAAGTATCTAAAATTGTTTTTAAAAAAGATACTTCTAAAAGTATCAAGATATATAAGTATCTAAGATATTAAAAAGTATCTTAGATACTTTTAGAAGTATTATTTTCAAAAACCATCTTAGATACTTCAAAAAGTATCTAAAATACTTTTTTGTATCTAAAATACTTATAAGGTATCTTAGATACTTTTAGTAGCTAAGATACTTATAAAATATATGCGATAGCCAATGCTACAAATTTTCTTTGGAACTGATACAGTATCTTAGATACTTTTGATGTATCTTATATACTTAAAAATAGATACAAGACACAGATATTTTTGTAAAAAATATCTTAAATTACATTTGGAAAAATATACTAAGTATTAAAAATATCTTAGATACACGATATTTCTAAAAAGTATCTTAGATCCTTTTAGAAGTATCTAAGATGGTTTTTGAAAAAAATACTTCTAAAAGTATCTAAGATACTTTTTAGTATCTAATATACTTATTAGGTATCTTAGATACTTTTAGTAGCTAAGATACTTATAAAATATCTGCGATAGCCAATGCTACAGATTTTCTTTGGAACTTATACAGTATCTTAGATACTTTTGAAGTATCTTAGATACTTTTGAAGTATCTTAGATACTTAAAAAGAGATACAAGACACAGATACTTTTTTAAAAAATATCTTAAGATACATTTAGAAAAAGATAATAAGTATTAAAAATATCTTAGATACACGATATTTCTAAAAAGTATCTTAGATACTTTTAGAAGTATCTAAGATGGTTTTTGAAAAAAATACTTTTAAAAGTATCTAAGATACTTTTTAGTATCTAATATACTTATAAAGTATCTTAGATACTTTTAGTAGCTAATATACTTATAAAATATCTGTGACAGATAATGCTGCAGATTTTTTTGGAACCTATACAGTATCTTAGATACTTTTGATGTATCTTAGATACTTAAAAAGAGATACAAGATACAGATTATTTTTTAAAAAATATCCTAAGATACATTTAGAAAAAGATACTAAGTATTAAAAATATCTTAGATACACGATATTTCTAAAAATTATCTTAGATACTTTTAGAAGTATCTAAGATGGTTTTTGAAAAAAATACTTCTAAAAGTATCTAAGATACTTTTTAGTATCTAATATACTTATAAAGTATCTTAGATACTTTTAGTAGCTAATATACTTATAAAATATCTGCGACAGCCAATGCTGCAGATTTTCTTTGGAACTTATACAGTATCTTAGATACTTTTGAAATATCTTAGATACTTAGAAAGAGATACAAGACACAGATACTTTTTTAAAAAATATCTTAAGATACATTTAGAAAAAGATACTAAGTATTAAAAATATCTTAAATA